AAATATATTTATATTTATATTTGGATCATATTTTTCATAAAATAAAAATAGTTAGATCAATCATATATTTTTTTATATATAAATATTATTTTTATTTTGAAATTATTTATAAAAATATTCAGGTCAATAAAAAATTTGTTCACATTTAAAAAAAAAATTAAGATTCACTCATTCATTTAAAAATATTTTAAATTAATTAATAAAAGACATATTTGTATATATAAATTACACCTGTATTTTTGTATATTTTTTTCATTATTCAAAAAACAATTAAATACATATCGCTAAGATTTGGAAGAACAAACATAATTACTCTAAGCATATGTAAGTACATGTGTGTTTAGTTTTCTATACATGCTACATCTCATTTATCATTGTTGATAATCATATTTTTGTATTTTATTCAATGACAAACCTTTCCAAATTAATTTTTTAATTTATTTTAATTGAGAATTTAGAAATTTTTTAAACAAAATTATTATTATTATTATTATTATTATTATTATTATTATTATTATTATTATTAAAAATATTGTATTCTTTAATTAAAAATAATTTCAAATTATTTTTCTTTATTATAAAATCTATAAATATAAGAAAACTCATTCTATCCAAACTTTCTATTTTGTCCTTTTGTTGCAAAAACACAACACGTAGATATTTTCTTTGGTCTCTATTTCATTTTTTTCATATTCTCCTTCTCCTTTGAAACTTACTTTTACTGACTCTCTCTCTCTCTTATCCTTTTTCCTGCTTCTCTCTCTCTCTCTCTCTCTCTCTCTCTCTCTCTCTCTCTCTCTCTCTCTCTCTCTCTCTCTCTCTCTCTCTCTCTCTCTCTCTCTCTCTCTCTCTCTCTCTCTCTCTCTCTCTCTCTCTCTCTCTCTCTCTCTCTCTCTCTCTCTCTCGTCCCTTTTCTCTTTCACTTTCTCTCTTTTTTCTCTTTCTCAATCCGCTGGTAACCCTTGCATGAACTTGAGTGACCTAACATCTAGCGTTTTCAGATTTGAAGGTTACGGCTTCTAAATCGGTGGATACTATTCAAATACCTACAAGTTGGGAGATGAAGTGATGCAAATGAAGTAATAATCGGTTATAATTCTCCTGTCTCCCTTGCTCTTCTTCTTTCTTCTCCCTTTCTTTGGGTATTTCTTTTTGTTAATAATGAACACAATAGAAAATTGCACAAATGCAATTATATTTGTTATTTTGAAAGTAACCAACTGAAGCTATTAAATAGCTTTACAAAGAAACTGAAAATCTAAACTAAAGCCACTTCTCCCATAAACTTAGGAAACTTGAACTGAAAACAAGAATGAGTCAAATGTAAAACTAATTCTATCATGTCATATTTTATAGGAACTTATTGGAATAAACTACTAATGAGAAAATACTAACAAAAACTCTCCCCTAAACTAAACATGTCAGCTACATGTTAGTTTATGCCAAGACTGCTTCTAACGCCCATTGCTTCTCTGAGTTTTTCAAACTGATCAATCTTCAAAGGTTTGGTCATGATGTCAGCTACTTGCTCATTGCTACCAATGTATTCCATATTGATTGATCCATCATTTGTAAGATTTCTTAGAAAATGAAATCGTACGTCAATGTGCTTACTCCTTCCATGGAAGACTGGATTTTTCGCAAGTTTAATAGTAGAAGAGTTATCACAGAAAATTTTAACACAGTCATTTTGAGTTCCTTTGATCTGTTTTAAAATCCGCTTTATCCAAATACTTTGGCAGGCGCAAGAGGCAGCAGCGACATATTCTGCTTCTGTTGTTGACAAAGTTACCACAGTTGCTTCTTAGATGCCCAAGCTACAGCTCCACCACTCAACATAAATACATATCCGGACGTGCTCTTTCGGTCATCCAAGTCGCCGGCATAATCACTATCTGTATACGCCATTATTTCAGTTGTACAATCCCTTTTATAAAAAATACCAAAATCTACAGTGGACTGAATGTATCTCAATACTCTTTTGGCTGCTAACATGTGTGTTTCCTTTGGACTTGACATGAATCTGCTTAGGAGACAAACACTGTACATTAAATCAGGTCTCGTCACTGTCACATACATGAGACTTCCAATAATTTGTTTGAACATTGTTGCATCAGCTTTTGCTCCTCCTCCTTCCTTTGTCAATTTGCATCCTGGCACTATTGGATTTCTGACTCCATTGCAGCCTCCCATTCCAAATCTCTCAAGTACTTCATTTACATATTTCTTTTGACTGATGTAAATGCCATTGCTGCCCTTATTAACTTCTACACCCAAAAAATACCTCATTTCGCCAAGATCCGACATTTCAAACTCATTTTTCATTGAGGTCTTGAAACCTTGCACCATCGAAAAATCATTACTAGTAAAAATAAGGTCATCGACATAGAGACTTACAATCAAAATTTTGTTGTCCTCAAGCTTCTTGAAAAATAGAGTGTGGTCACAACAACTCCTTTCAAATTCTTCTTTGATGAAGTATCCCTCAATTCTACTGAACCACGCCCTCGGAGCTTGCTTCAAGCCATAAAGGGCTTTCTCAAGCTTGTACACCTTGTTCTCATCCCCTTTTACTTCATAGCCTTGTGGTTGAGTGACATACACATCTTCACTAAGTTTTTCGTGTAAAAAGGCGCTTTTGACGTCAAGCTGGAAAACTTTCCAATGATTTCTTGCTGCTACAACCAACACAGTTCGAATGGTGTCCCATCTTGCTACTGGAGCGAAGACTTCATTGTAGTCTATCCCCTTTTCTTGAGCATAACCTTTTGCCACCAGTCTTGCTTTGCATTTGTCAACTTCTCCGTTCTCGTTTAATTTGGTTCGATAAACCCATTTGACTCCTATCACCTTTACTCCGGGAGGAGCTTTTACCAGCTTCCATGTATTGTTCTTCTCTATCGCTTTGATCTCAAGATTCATTGCCTCCCTCCATTTCTTTGATTTTACTGCTTCTTCATAAGACAACGGATCAAATTCAGATATGAAGAGAGCGAAGTTTTGTACCTCATTATCCGAGAGCCCTTCTCCGCTGGTATAATCTTCTAAGTAAGCCGGAGTTCTTCTTCTTCGAGTTGGTAAGGCCGCGACATCACTAATAACACCATCACTGGAATTGGTGTCGTCATCTGTCTGATCTTGTGAGGCTGCTGCATCATTTGAGATGGTTTCGTCATTTTCGTGATTTCCTTCATCTTCATTTAGGGCAGATTCATCTTCACTTTCCTCCCCTTGATTGTATGTCTGTTCATAGGCTTCTCCCCAGTCCAAAATGTCATGTTTTGTCTCTTCTGTTGTGCTTTTCCAATCCCATTTTTCACCTTCTTCAAACACTATATCCCTGCTGATTGTTACTTTCATTGTGCAAGGATCAATCATCTTGTACCCTTTTGATTCTTCACTGTAACCGATCAACACTTGCTTTTTGCTTCTTGCATCCAATTTTTGTCTCCTAGCATCAGGTATATGGACATTGCCAATGCATCCAAAGATCCTGAAATATTCAACATTAGGTATAAAACCACTCCAGCATTCTTCTGGAGTTTTGTTTTTCAAAGAGGCAGTGGGACTTCTATTTAAAATATGGCAGGTCCATTTCACAGCATCTGGCCAAAGCTTTTTAGGCATCTTCTTCTCTTCGAGTAAACATCTCACCATGTTGAGAATTGTTCGGTTTTTACGCTCGGCAACTCCGTTTTGCTGAGGCGTATATGCCGTAGTCAGTTGTCTCTTGATCCCTTGTGATTTGCAAAAATCTGTGAATTCTTTTGAGTTGAATTCTCCTCCTCTATCTGTTCTCAAACTACATAAGGATAAGCCAGACTCCTTTTCCACCATTATTTTGAACATTTTGAAAGTAAAAAATGTTTCACTCTTCTCATTCAGAAAATACACCCATAATTTCCGACTAAAATCATCAATGAATGTTAGCAAATACCTTTTTTTGCTGTAAGATGCAGGTGAGATAGGACCGCAAATATCAGAGTGAATGAGTTGTAGTTGCTTTGTGGCTCTCCACTTGCTCTTATTTGGTATAACTTTTCTGTGTTGTTTCCCTTTCATACAACTTGCGCACTTCTTTGTTAGTGATTTGATGTTTGGAAGCCCCTTAACCATCTTCTTATTATGCAGCAAGGCAAGACTTTTATAGCTCAAGTGCCCATATCGTTTGTGCCAAATTTCACTTGCCTCTTCATCATATGTATTAAAGCATGCTGAATTTGCAATGAGAATGTTTGTGATGACTACAAACATTCTATTTGCCGTCATTATGCTTTCCATTATAAGTCCCCGAGTTGGATGGTACAACTTGCATGCTCCATTCTTTATCAGTATAGTAATGCCTTTGTCTTGCAATTGACCTACACTGAGCAAATTGTTACGCAACTCAGGTATGAAATACACATTACTTACAATTTGAACTTGACCTCCAAACTCTAGCTTTATGCTTCCTTTCCCCATCACCATCAATTTTGAGTCATTCCCCAGTTTTACCGAATGCTTGAACCCTTCATCAAGATGCATGAACCACTCCTTGTTTCCGGACATGTGATTTGAGCATCCGGAGTCAAGAAACCATATTCCTTCCTTTTTGTTCTGCTTGAGATCTACATGTGCCATTAGAAGCATTTCATCTTCATCATTGATTTCAGCATAGTGAGCTCTCTTCTCCCAATTTGTACATTCGTATTGATAATGCCCCAAATTGTGGCACCTATAGCATTCCACAATAGACTTATCAAAAAACTGTCTTCCTCTTCCTCTAGTTACGCCTCTGCCTCTTCCACCTCGAGCTTCATATGTCACTTTTAAGGCTTGTTCTTCTTCAACTGGGCCTCTCATTCTCTGCTCATGGATTAAGAGACTACTTTGGAGTTCATCCACAGTTAGTGTATCAACATTATTTGATTCTTCAATAGAACACACAACATAATTAAATTTGGAAACTAAAGAACGTAGGATCTTTCCTGTGATGTCTGCTTCTTTCATATTTTCTCCACATGCCTTCATCTTCTTGGCAATGGAAAGTGTTCTTCCGAAGTAAGCATTGACAGTCTCCCCTTCCTTCATTCTTAAGGTTTCAAACTCGGTCTTAAGAGCTTGAAGTTGTGCTCTCTTGACTCTAGTTGATCCCTTGAATTTCTGCTTCATTGAATCCCATATTTGCTTGGATGTGTCATCGTTAAGAATGGTCTCCAAGATTTCTCTATCTATAGCTTGATAGAGATAGTTTTTCACTTTCTTATCCTTCAATTCCTGTTCTCCTATGAGTTTCGCCTCTGTTTCTGATGGCTCTTTCCCCTCTGGAATCACAGTAATTCCATCTTCTACAAGACTCCAGAATTCCTTTGCTCGAAGGAAGTTCTCCATCAATTTGGCCCAATGCTCATAATAGCCATCAAATTTAGGGATGGCTGGCTGCACAAACGTACTGTTGGTGTTGCTGCTCTCTGCCATTCTTTCTCCCTCTTCTCACGTGTTTCACTCAACGAACACCTCTACTTTATCTCTCAATCAAGCCTGTCTGACAAGCTCTGATACCAATTGTTAATAATGAACACAATAGAAAATTGCACAAATGCAATTATATTTGTTATTTTGAAAGTAACCAACTGAAGCTATTAAATAGCTTTACAAAGAAACTGAAAATCTAAACTAAAGCCACTTCTCCCATAAACTTAGGAAACTTGAACTGAAAACAAGAATGAGTCAAATGTAAAACTAATTCTATCATGTCCTATTTTATAGGAACTTATTGGAATAAACTACTAATGAGAAAATACTAACACTTTTGTCATTTTGGTATCGTAACGATAGATGAATGGTGTGGGAATTGGTTTTACGGTGGTGCATCTGTTGGATTGAACAAGTTGGTCTTGATCTCTCTTTTAGGGTTTGAAACATTGTGAATCGGTTGAAATTGATAAACCCTAATCCCTAATATTTTCGTTGATTCCAATGTCTCTGTATCATTTTTTATTTATGCTTGCTATGATAAACCTTAATCCCTAATTTTTTAATTTATCATGTTATATGTCATGCGGGGTGGAGCAAGTCGTTTGAACTTGATATAGTTGGAGCAAGAGCTCAAACGTGTAAGACAGCAGGAACATATCGACGCTTCACGCCGGATTGTGTTTATTGGCTCATGTATCAACACAAATTGTAGGAACATATGACTATGCTTCCCCAGAGTACATTGTCACAGGTATTGTCACTACAAATATCCTCTTAATCCATTCTATTACTAATCTATCGACGAAATTGATTTTTATTGCAGTGGCTGAAATGAGAAAGATATCAACCATGATGGTTATAAAAGTTTTGGTATGATTATTTTTTCCAATAACTATTATTATAAGAAATTAGCTTTAATATGATTAATTTTGGGTTGAAGTTGCTGGATCAAACTTCTTTAAATTGGGTTTAATTTTGATATATTTGGCTTCATCCATCCAAATATGCAAGTGACTTCATCTTTATTTGTTTGGCAAGAGCTAAGTATAATTTATACTATACTTTCAATTGGTAATTTTCTAATTTTGGTTCCCTTCAATATGAAATGATTGTAGTTGCTGCATTCACATATAAAATGATTGCAGTTCAGGCTTGGTCTTTCCTGATTCACATTTGAGTTTCTTCATGACATATTTATAATGTTATACTGTCCTCTAAATTCTTAGTATCCATGCATACATAGGTTACACGTACCCATGTTAATATTCTTAATTTCTTATGTTAACCCTATAACAGATTACCAAAAAATGTCCTCTAGATAACAGATATGAGAATGTCAAACAAAGATGAAACACAAGTGGAAGTTCTTCTTGTAAAGTTCTTCTTTTATCCCATATGAACTTGTATTGCAGCTTAAAGTTCTATGCCCTTTCTCAAAACTCAAAAAGGTATAGGGGATTGAACTGGAGTATTTGGCTTCAAGTTCAATACTGCTTATGCTTAATAAACCAAATCACACTCTTTGGCTTGAAAAAAAGTAAATATACAACAAGAATAATACTATTAACTAGCACAAATTCATAAGTCTTTAGTATATGTACAATAAGAATACACAAAAACAATAGGAAAGTGGCGTTTTGGTTCACTGTTTTGCTGTTTGTTTATAAAGTTGCAGATTGTTTCAATTCCTCACTTTACAAATGATCGCTGTTTTTTTAAAATTCCAATGACTCCCGTATATTTTTGTCTTCGTGATTGTGATGTGATCATTGTTATTCCAAAACATGATATACATTTAATGAAGAACTGGTATACATTTAATTTGTGCGCGAAACTACAAATCAAGCCAAAATATGATAATTCCATATATATATATCTAATTTCAGTTTTAAAACTGACTGTGATGTTATTTTTATCAAATTTGGTTGTTGGCAACATGATGGAAATTGATATGTTATCATCAAAAGAAAAGTATTGGATATTTATTTATTCTCTCTTTTATGAAACACTCCTTGCTTTTGCATAGTCATTGAGAATGATTTTTTGTATCATCTACAATTGTATTTTCAGGTCTACAACATGCATCAGGGAAAAAGAGATGTAGAAATTGTATTAACAATGGGGATCATGCAAGATGTTAGCATTATTCCCCAACCGGCAAGTAACTATACATACATAAAATGGGTTTTAATTTAAGGTGAATAATTGTAACAAAGAAACACAGACAGTTTCAAGTGTTAGCTGCTAACTATACTTGCCAAGATGTAATGCAATTTCCTATCTCGCTGTTATGGATGTTAAGTAACTGCTTCCAATGATGAGTTTCAGTCTGTTGGTTTTCACTAATTTCAAGAATTTGATTGTGTGATTATAATAATAATTATTAATATGGTGTTTTAGGTGTAGTTAAATTGGTGAGTTAGATGGACCATACATGACTATTAGCCTCAAGGTATGAATTTTGGCACAGGCGTTTGCCCGGAACAGATTGTCCAGGTATGAATTTCTCGATAATCATATATATTGAACATGAATTACAACATTAAAAACATAAATCAAGGGTGAATACACTTATCAGTTATCATCTTGGACTATGCAATTTCATTGATGTCGTTATGTTTACAGGGAAGTCGTTCATGAAGAAACTGGCGATGTGCTAAAAGTTCCATTTCGATGCATTCACTTGTCTGGTGATGTATCTCACTTTGATAACTATGATACTAGTGTTCCTCAAAATATAAGTCTAAGGATAGGTATGAAAATCAAGTTTTCTATCTCTTTTTGGCTGTGACATTTTCTTTATTTGTTGAGTTTGTGGTACATTTTTATGACTAATGCTAATCTAATTGGTTTCTTTTCATGGATTTGATTATTAGGACCTTTTTGAAGGGTGGTTATTGCATACACTTACATCGATCAGTGTATAAGACAAGTTGTTATGGAGCAGGCATTGCTGCTGATACAGAGGCAATAACAAGTATTGTTAATAATGCATACATCTCATGTCGCCCATTTTTATTACACTGCTGCTAATACATAGGCAGTAACAGAGATATCATGATATATGTCACCTCTAATTGAGTTTCTCATTAAGTTTTAAGGTAGTTGCTCAGAACTGTACTAATCTTTAAATAATTGAACTTTAAAAACAGATTTGCAAACTGAACAGGACTATTGCATATTGTCAGTATATTGTTAATTCACATTCTTGAATTTTGATTGTTAAGTATGAACGTCGTCTTATATATGATATGGTTGCGTATGCTATTAAAAGTGACAGAGGCTATGTATGGGCCTGCAAGAATTTTGATGGGGATGTGCAGAGTGGAAAACACCAATATTGTTTCAGTCTCAGTAATATTTATATCTATACAGTCAGCTTACTACATTTTAGTGTTTAGAATTCAATTCTAAGTGGCACTTTTCTTGTCTTGAATTATTTAAATTTGGCATGCTAAAGTATAATTATAATTTTCACTAGGGTGATTAACATTTGTCTATTTAGATCATATGAGATCTAAATCTATTGACAGGATTATTATTATAGGTAATGGATGACAAATTATATTATTCAAAATTGTGTTGATAGAGCTTTGGATAAAACTATTTCAAGAGCTGGCATGGACTTGGCTACTACAAGGGATGTTCAAGAGTCTTAACGAAAATGGTAAATCAGTAGCTTTAAATTACCTTAAGAGAAATGGAAAGTTCGAGCTCTATCAGTGGTAGCGCGTAGGTACGATTCCTTCTTACTCACCTTCTCCTTGTATTGATGCTGGAATCCGTAGGTTTTCTACGAGGTGATGGAAGTTGTTTGTTGTTTTGCTACAGGTGTGTTCAATCTGTTCTGCATTGTTGTTGTTGTTTCAAATCGCTTGAATTGTGTCAGATATTAAATGACTTTGTATTTGAACATTGATTGCAGGTGCATAATTGTGTTGCAAGTACTTGAATTGGTTTAATTTTAAGTTTGTCATGAGTTTTCAAAACTGTGTTGGTTATTACATGCCCTTTTGTTTTGGATTCCATTGTCATCGAGTGTTTGAATTGATTTGAACACGAATGTGAACATAAGATGGTGTACTAAATTTTGATGGCAATGTGCTTAAATTGCTTTTAAGGTGAACATAAATATGTGCGGCAGGGAAATTGTCATGTAGATATTATGAATCACAGAACATTGACGCCAGCGCTATCCAAGTCAACCAAGCCGAATGATTTGTAAGTATTTGCTCTCTCATCAAATCAAAACAAAAAACGACATTTCTTGTCGCACTGATTGATCTTTTAGAGAACAGTTTGATAAATTAATGTGTTCTTACCATAAGTACACCCTAATAATCGACGAATTAAGATGTAGAAATAAGTGCATTTTGATCCACTGACTATTAATATGATAAATGGATTAATGCTTGGAAAATGTGATTGCAACAAAATTAAATTCTCTGTTGAATTTTGATAGCTCGATTTTAATCATTTCTATTTTAATTCAGATTTGGTACTCTTGATGTGAATATTGAGATTATGTTATATATTGTGACTTTACTCAGCTAGAGCTAATGCACGTGCAACTCAGGAGGGCAAGGAGAAGGACAGATACACAAGACATAGAGTTATCAATGGATATGATGGTTGTGTTCTCCGGCGAAGATGATCGTAATTCCTATAGTGCTATTGTCGAAAGGCTTACGAAAAAGTTGGAACTTCACTATGTTAAGGATCTTGAGGTAGAAACAGTGGTTGTTGGATATCTTGCTAGAGAAAGAAAGGGACACCAAGAAGAGAGCACATATAAAATAATTGGTCTTCTCAACCAATACAAAAGGATTGCATGTATGGAAGAAACTGAGGTTGTTATAGATGATGATCCTGCCATGCCTAATAAGGTGTTTGGAAGAAGCACTTCTTTGAACATCCCTCATGAGTTTCTATGTCCAATAACTCTTGAAATCATGACAGATCCTGTTATTGTTGCAATTGAACTGGTAATAGTCACATAGTTAAAAAAAATCATTTTCCCACATATATGCATGGTGCTAACAAAACTAACTTTACTCATTTTCTTATGATTGTGTGTGTTTGTTTTCATCAAAGGGAAATCATAGAGAAGTGATTTAAATCCAATCACAACTCTTTCCCAAAGACAAGGCAACCACTTGAACATCTTCAGTTAGCACCAAATTGTGTCTTAAAGAACTTAATTGCCAAATGGTATGAGAAAAACAACTTCAAACATCCAAAAATATGCACTTTCTGTCATTGATTTTCTGAGAATATTCATCCATCCTTCAATTTGTTGCCAGCCCTTACTGATGGTGACTCTCCGGAACAACATCCCAAAAGACCAAAGTTGAGTAGTAGCAAAAAGAAGAAACTGCATGAAATCTTGATTAGAATTTTAATTTCTACTGTGATGTAGACTTCGTGTGAATTGAGTTGTATCAATAATAATAGTATCAATAAACACATGCTACTGTGATGTATACTGACTAGAATAATAGTGTATGGTGTAGCAATAAACACATGTTATACTTTGTTGTCTCTATTAATATTAATCCTTTGGTAGCTATGAAATTTGAGTTGGTAGATTTGTTAGCAATAACCCACTATCCAATGACTAAACTGAATGACATAAACTAAAGAAAGTCATTTGACAGTTTAATTTTATTATTCTTCTACTAAGTAGTAATATTTGATTTTGGTGGGTTAAGTACCACTATTTCAACTATGACGTTTTGGTTTTTTCTTCTATCAGTTTAATTTTCAAAATTGTGAAACATTATAAAGTTTACCGTTTGAGTAACCGAGTCTTGAAAAACTTGAGAATATAGTCCTATATATACAACAAACATTATTTATATATTGCAAGTTAATAATTATTTGAGAATTAGATATATTATCTTTGCAATCTATTGATTATTATTATTAGAGTATATTTTGTTATAAGGATTTCTATTGATATATGAATTTTGTGAGTATATTATAAACTAATTATACTTAATTCAATGAAAGTGTCATTCTTGATACCCGTGCATACTAGTTCAATTAATGGTATGAGTATTGAAGTTAATTTTTAAAATTTAAATTGTATACTAAATTTACACATTATGTTATATTACATACTATACTAAATTTACATATTATAATACCATAAATAATAACTCCTATAAGGGAGATGATAAAAGATAAGTTTATTATTTATGTTTAATATCATTAATCATTCTATTTATTATCATTTAATATTTATTTTATACTATTTATAGTATATTTATAATCCAAAGTAAATTTAAACGTTTTAAATACTTTTGACTAATAATCATTTGCAAACATTATCATAAAAATATTTTTTGACTTAAATAATTTTTTTAAATAAAATTTTAGCGATTAATTAAAATCACACCCCAACTTATGCAATCAACTATACTCAACTATACTTTGCTAGTTAACTATAATTAGTGCATATTTATTCAATTTAAGTAATTAAGTCCACAACATATATTTCATATTACATACCTATTGCATAGTATATGTGTTTAAAAACACCTAACTACAATATAGAACAATATATAATACATTTTAAAAAATAATGTGTAGCTATGTGTTATAGTAGTTGTTTTTTCTACGCCTAAGTCATTTTCCCAAAATTGTGCATAGCTCTGCAAAGTTGTACAGGTTTGCACAACTTCAAAATCAGTGTAACATTTACAAGATTAATAATAGACAAAATCTGCAATAACATTTACATAAAAAAGAGAAAGTTTGTGTGTGAGAGAGAGTTTGCAGTGGTCTAAAATCAAATTTAGATAGCATATTTGACATGTTTAAAAAAAAAGCAAAAAAGTGTACAGTAGTGATGGTGTGTTTGTCTATAAATTTAAATATCTATCATTATATAGAAAATCAAAGAAAATAAAAATTGGTTATTATTATAATAATAATAATTCTATAGTATAAGTGGTACAAAATAATTCTAAAATTTGATCCTAGATTTTAAATTTTAATATTATAAATTATATTTAATGTGTAATAAAAATATTCATAGTTATAGTTAATGTATCATTATTGTGGTGAAGCTATTTCAGCATTGAAGAAGAAAATAACAAGAAACGAAAATGAAGAAGGAAGAAGATAATGAGCAAAAGAGTAATAGTTTGTTATATTACACGTGTGATAGTCTTATCCATATATAGTGTGTTGCTATCATTTAACAACCAATCAGAAAGATGTAACTAACTGACTAAAAATAGCAATATTAAAAATAACAATATTAGTAAAGCTCCTTTTATCCATAAAATTACAGTAAATCTATCTCATTTATCTATAGTCTTAACAACCCCTCTCAAGCTAAGCATGGTGAATATTGTTCATGCCAAGTTTGGAAATGAACTTGTTGAAAGTTGAAGTGGATAAAGCTTTGGTTAGGAAATCAGCTAGTTGTTCATGAGTTGAAATTGGTAGAAGCCGAAGTAAGCCTTGCTGCAGTTTTTCACAGACTAAATAAATGACAGTCAATCTCAAGGTGTTTGGTTCGTTCGTGAAATACCGGATTGAGTGCAATATGCATTGTACTTTGGCTGTCACAGTACAGGACATGGAGTTTGGTACATGTGATGTGCAATTCCATCATGAGAGCTATCAACCAAAGCATTTCACATGTAGCAAAAGATAGTTCCCGATACTCTGCCTCTGAAGATGATCTGGAAACAGTATCTTGCTTCTTCGCACGCCATGATAGAAGAGAAGTTTCAAGGAAAAAGCAATAGCCCGAAATAGACTTTCTTGAATCAATACACCCTGTCCAATCTGAATCTGAGAAACCAAGAAGTTTCAATTCAGCATTCCTACGAAACAGAATTCCTCTACCAGGGCTATTCTTCAAATAGTGTA